TTTGATATTGTGGTCGAATCTGTCTAACCTCTGCATAACTTGGGGATGTGCTAATCGCCTTCCTGATATTATTGATCTTCTCAGAAAAGAAGGAAGCAAACTAAAATATTATATTATATTATATGATATTATATGATATTAAATTATATGATATATTATATTATATTGTATTATTAATATGAGCTTATGATGGGGTTTGTTAACATTTTGAATTCCATTTTATTTTTAGATTTTGTTTTCACATTGTTTTTTTTTCAAATTTTTATTGTGTTTTTTACGTATATATAAATTTCACAATGCAAAAAAATATATTATTATATATTATATTATATTAAAATATGAGCTTATGATTTTTTTGAGTGAACACTGGCAAAATTATCCACAAATAATGTTTTTTTAGTATATCCTTGATATGCTGTTCTAGGTTTTGTTAATATTTTGAATTCCATTTTCATTTTTATGTTTTTTAAATGTTTATATAAATGTCACAATGCAAAACATTATTATATTATATCATATTATTAATATGAGCTTATGATTTTTTGAGTGAACACTGGCAAAATTATCCACAAATAATGTTTTTTTTTTTTTTATACCATTTATATGCTATTCTAGGTTTTTTTAATATTTTGAATTCCATTTTCATTTTTATATTTTGTAATATAATTTTTAGTCTTTTCATTTTTTAAATGTTTATATAAATGTCACAATGCAAAAAATTATATATTATATTATAGGCCTTATTAATTTGAGCTTATGCACCTCAGTTTTTGAGTGAACATTGGCAAAATTATCCACAAATAACTGATTTTAAATGTAGCATACTCTTGGTTTTCTAGTGCAGATCAAGTCGATTAAGTCATAAAATTGTTAAGGTATCATTGTATATCAGAATACTATATATAATTCCTCAGGAAAGTGGTTCTGGTTTCCGAGGATGATGGGAATTTTGGCTGGGATTTGTGCGGAAAGTGAGGGATGAGATTCTGCATACTTACAGCCATTTTTGTCTATTAAAAACCGTTCCTCTGTGAAACGGTGGGGCAGACATGGCAGCCGGTATGTCGACCTTGGTGTGATGCCAGGCCAGAGAGATCTATATTAAAGTCTTGTGGCGCGGCGGTAAATGCTCCCCCTGTGTGTGCATGTGTGGGGTCCGTCCGGCTCGCACACTCACATGTGAATGTTCCTGAGCAAATATATTTATGACCAGCAAATGTTTACAGATGCCGAGAATTGCTTGTGTGTATTCCAGGACTCAAGGTGGATTAAGTTTGTGCCTCTTCATGAAGAATATCATCTTTTTCTTTTTTGGACGAGTTGTTTAGTCGCTTCTGTGAGTTTAATTGGCCACGCACTCCAGAGTTGAGGATATTTCAAGGGCCTTCAGTGGTTTTACCAACAAGAGCTCTTTATTGAGGATCACATGCCGATAGGTTTCTATTTTTTTTCCAGTGCATTTTCAGTTTAAATTTATAATGCAAACATCAAAAAAAAAAAAAAAAAGTTAAGGTGCATATGAGTTGATATTTTAGGACTATTTTTTTCATTGTTCATTTATTTTCATGACAATTAAGCAAAATTATTGCTGTATAATGCAATGTTTTTCTTTGACAAATGTTTTTTCATCTCATTTCTCATTATGAAGCAAGACAGATAAAGGCTTTACACACATCTTACCCTGAATACCTTTAATGAAAACGTTTATTAAGTTAGACCTGCTTAAATGATGATTTAAAGCAGTCAAGAGTTTTGAATTGATTCATTTAAATACCTTATTTATTCATTCATTCATTCATTCAAATTAGAAGAAAGAAATAATAAAGAAAATTATTATTTTGAGTAAATTGAAATATGCCTTTTTAAAGGCTATTTATTTGGGCTATCAATAACTAAAACTAAAACCATTAAAGATTGCATTACTTGAAGCAAAATAAATTTTAACTGAAATAAAATACTTTTTTTTTTTTAAATGGATTTGAAAAATATTTGTCTTAACTGATTCACATATATTAATTAAACTTACCATTTTTAACTTATTCAAATTAAAAGAAAGAAATAAGAAATTATATTTTGAGTAAATAAAACCTTTTTAGGACTGTTTATTAGTTCTATTTACCAGAGTTATTATTGTTAACCCAATCCAAAACAATAAACACATTTTCATTACATGAAACAAAATAAATGTTAACTGAAATAAATATTTTTATTTTTAGTAAAATATATAAAAAATGTAAAGTTTTTTTTGTGATTCAGATTAATCTCAAGTTTATTATATTACAGTAAAAAATGAGTAACTGTAATATATTTATATAAATCAAAGCATATAAAATCACAAATTATCAATCATAATTTGATTTTTAATGCAAAAGGTCTTAATGGTCTTTTAAATATGCTTCTTGTTTTTCAGATATGTTTGTATTCCCAATGTCATCTTTTATTTTGATTATTACATGAAAGTATTTGCTTTGCATTTTTCAGACTGTATTTTGTTCTCATGTGTCCTCAACGTGAAATCATCTTTTAACTAAGAAAACCAGCTCTACAAGGAATCAAACCTTGCTCTTTTTGTGTGCTTGTTATTATATACGTCACAGATCATTAGCTGCGGTTTGCTTCAGTTCAGTGCAGTATATTTATATAGCACTTTTCACATTCACGTCCAAAGCAGTTTGACAAAGAATAGTTTTGTTGAACTCGATCCTCCTTTTTTATCCTTTTGTAAGGACGGGTTTAAAAATATCAGTAAGTTAACACTACAGTCCCTCCATGAGATTTGCCATAATTCTAGAGCGTTCATGGGATATGTTGATTTACATAAGAACAGCTATCATTTGCACCATGATGGATGAGCTGTTTTTCCTCTTTTGGCAACAAAGTGAAATTATAGCACTTCACCAGACATTTTTCATTGCAGCTTTTTTGTCCTTCTCAAGCTTAAAGATTTCTTTGCATGTGATTTAGACATTCCTCTGTAAACCTCTCATGCACCGGCTGATAAAAAGGTCCGTTATGTCTTTACATTAAACCAGGACACATAAAACATATAAGTTGGGCTGTTTGTCTTGTTTTCATACCCAGAGCAGCACCACGTGGTATTTTGCTGTGCCTGGTTCATTTTTATCTGTTGTTTTGATGCATTTCTCTCTGTTTGCATTGCACTCAAGGACAATTTTGAGCAGGAATGGTAAAGTTAGACATTCTTGCACAAGACTTGAAGCTCACGTCACACCAAAGTGACTCAAGTCCTGCTTTAAAAATGAACCCCCTTATCGGTTTTCTCAAGGTCTTCATGCTGCATCAGTGACTTACAAAGCGCTGATTTTAAAAACATCTCTGGGTTGATGTTACCAAGCGCTGATTGTTACATACTCCCGCTTTCTTTGCTGATTGAATTGCCTTCAATTCTTTCTTTCTTTGCTCCTGCAGCTCCATCAGGCCGCTGAGGTGGCCCTCCTGAGAGGGGCCAGGGCCATTTCACCAGAGTATATCATCTTTCTAATGAGGAAAGACAAGGTAAAAGCACACCAATATGAGACATTACTGCAACATAAATCATTAGCCTTCATATTTATGGACTAGCACTTGGGTTATTGAGTAGTTTTATTGCTTTTGCTTTTCGCTCACCGGTTAAAAGCAAGAAGCAGGGGCTAGGTGATGTAATTAAACATTCTTTTGAGCTTTTTGATGATTTTACATGATATTTATGTGATTTCAGTGAAGAGGGTAAGTAGATTAAATCTGTTTAATGCAAGAATTGAAACACAATAAACTTCTATAAAAATAATCAATCAATAAAACAGGTTTTTCACACATTTTTCCCGAATTATTTTGAATCAGTTCATTGAAATGGACAACTGATTCAACTGATGAATCATACTTACCACCTGTAACTCTCTCTCTCTCTCTCTCTATATATATATATATATATAAGTGCTGTCAAACGATTAATCGCGATTAATCGCATC